GAAACAGAATATTTCGAAATAAAATCTCGAAAAATCCATCTGTCCTAAATTACCTACACCGTAGGTTATGGTGAATGTCTGACAGATATAATTCAATGTTCAGCGTGGTATTAGTCGGGGACGTAGTTGTTTTCCGGCGGGCATTTACCAGAACCCACGGTATACTTACATATGTACATATGGTATGTGACCTATGTCATAGGTACTCCTTATACAAAGTACATATTGAATCACAACTTTAGTAAAAGCATGTGAAACTGTACTTTACTATACACTATAAAAACATTTCTCAATTAAGAATCTCTTAGAATTATCATAAAATATATTGCCCGATTTCGAGTTTGAAAAATAGTCAATTTACTATAAAAACGGAATAGCACTAAACTGATGAGAGTTTTTAAATTCCGATGAGGTGTGCAATAATTATGGAACGATGCATTGGTTGTAAAAGTGGACAGATTTTTTTCTCACAAAGTTAACATATTTCAACAAGCATATTGATGGTTCACAGCTGTATTCCAATACAGCTATATTCCATATAAAAATCAATCTTACAATGCATTTTTGTATTATAAATATCCTTTTGAAATCCTTGCCAGGACACCATCAAAACATTATGTTGAGCAAAATATGAGATTTGATACGCAATGAAATCTTCTTACTGAAATATACAAATAAGAATCAATAATGTAAAATGTGTATGACATCGGGATTCCTTTCATATTCAAATAAATGATAATAACAAAATTCAATTGGCAATATTTCAGTATTGTTGTCACACAACAATCTAATAAATTAATAATAAAAACACTTTTTTTAAGCAACATGCTAAAAAAATAATAAAACATATCAATTTTTTACATTACACAATGTATGTGTTATGAAAGTTTGTCGTAAGATTTACCTGTTTCATAAAAACATATAATCGAAATCTAACAAGTAGGATGGAAATCGGCGACTGTGGCGAGAGGTTTCGTTAAGAGGGTATCAACAATAGGAAGAATGTTTCTCGAAACATCTATCTCTCCTAAAGTACCTACACCGTAGGTTCTGCTGCTGAATTTTTGACGAATATAATTCAATGTCCAGCGTGGTATTAGCCGGAGAGGTAGTTGTTTTCCGGCGGGCATTTATCAGAACCATCGGTATACTTACATATGTACATATGGTATGTCACCTATGTCCTAGGTACTTCTTATACTAAGTACATATTGAATCAAAACTTTAGTAAAGGCATGTGAAACTGTAAAATCAATATGAACATTGAACTATGGATGAGAAGTCTTGAGTTTATTATTCTATAAAAATAAAAAATAAATAAAACTCAGTCGAAGGAGCCATCTAGACATTACTATACACTTTAAAAACATTTCTCAATTTAAAATCCCTTGGAATTATCATGAAATATATTGTCCGATTTCGAGTTTGAAAAATATTCGATTTATTATAAAACTGAATAGCACTAAACTGATGAGAGTTTTTAAATTCCGATGAGGTGTGCAATAATTATGGAACGATGCATTGGTTGTAAAAGTGGACAGATTTTTTTCTCACAAAGTTAACATATTTCAACAAGCATATTGATGGTTCACAGCTGTATTCCAATACAGCTATATTCCATATAAAAATCAATCTTACAATGCATTTTTGTATTATAAATATCCTTTTGAAATCCTTGCCAGGACACCATCAAAACATTATGTTGAGCAAAATATGAGATTTGATACGCAATGAAATCTTCTTACTGAAATATACAAATAAGAATCAATAATGTAAAATGTGTATGACATCGGGATTCCTTTCATATTCAAATAAATGATAATAACAAAATTCAATTGGCAATATTTCAGTATTGTTGTCACACAACAATCTAATAAATTAATAATAAAAACACTTTTTTTAAGCAACATGCTAAAAAAATAATAAAACATATCAATTTTTTACATTACACAATGTATGTGTTATGAAAGTTTGTCGTGAGATTTACTTGTTTTATAAAAACATATAATCGAAATCTAACAAGTAGGATGGAAATCGGCGACTGTGGCGAGAGGTTTCGTTAAGAGGGTATCAACAATAGGAAGAATGTTATAAAAATGATTGGAAGTGCCAATAATCGAAGTGCCACCCACCTCATTGACTTGCAAGAATGTTTGATTTGAACAGTTTTTCCTCTGATTAAAAAGTCTGAAGTATTAATATTTCACACAATACCAACTGTACTTTCCACTGTCATTTAGAAAACTAAGATTGTTGAATATTTAACTGAAGCTTTTGAAATAATTAGATTTCATAATATTTCTCTGGTTGTTGATGTTTTTTTAAAACACGCGCTTTTTGGTTTTTGAAGCGCTAGGTCTCCTAAGTGAAACCTCAAGTGTGCGGTAGACTCCTGTTATTGATTCCGTGCAACGATTATGGACATACAGGATTGCTTACATACATATATCGCCACGTTAAACAAGCGCCGAGCAGATGTGACGTAACACTGGTGACACTTTTGGTAGTTGCCATAAAACTGTGTGTTATTTTAACATTTTTTGAGGATTATTTTCGGACAGTATTACATTGTTTCTGTTTATTTTGATTAAATTTTTATTTTACTTAACCAATTAGGTTTCTGAAACATTGAGTTTGTTATTGTGAAAGTCGTATTTTTTGTGCTTTTGGACATTTTTTGAAATCGTGTAACGAGTAGACGTCATATAAGACTGTTATTTTCTTCCGTTATAAGGTTTTTTTGCCATTGTGGAACTTTTTTTGTTTTTTGAACATTTTTAAATTAAATTAAGGTAAAAATTGGAAATATT